CAAATGCTTGATTTCAACTCGGAGTACACAATTTTGGACCGGGACTGGGACACTTTTCCAGTTATCTTTTTTACCGCGGCAATGCTGGTTGGCCTCTACAGTGCTTTTTTAAACGATTTTAGCGTGCAGTCTGCATCAACGATGCAAAAATCAAACTCCGCCGCCAGATCCTGCAGTCGCTCTGCTGGATCGCAGCGTATTTCCGCCCGGCGAGCATCCTACTTTGATTGAATTAAACGAGTGGTTAATTACTACCACTGCCCTCCAACGAGCGTAACTCATGACTCTTTAATAAGAAAAATACAGTACTTCAAAGTAGTGCAAAGTGACGCGGGTCTATGGTAAAGCGAAAAAATGCGTACTGACCATGAGGAGGGAATAATATACTGCATATTATTCAGTTGGCAATAGGTATGCACTGGCTCTAGCCCGAATTAATTTCCGGGCTACATAATTAGCCACATGAAGATGATGAGAAACGATAAGGAGATATGCCGAACATGCCATGTAACTGTTAACAAATTCTTTCCCGCTAGAAAACTTGTTTATGTAGTTATCCTGGAGCGCCCGACGTTTTACCAAGAAAATTTAAAAAAAACATTAAGTTAATCTAAAATTACGGTAGAATTCAATTAACGTAACTAACATCTGATCGCTTTAATATTACAAAATTTTAAAATGGGCTTATTTCCACATTTTGTGATAATTTGCTCGAGCTAGATGCGTTTGCAGTGCTTTGCAACGATAAATGAAATGTTAAGAAAGTTTTAATAGATTTCAAATTGCAAAAAGCGAAAGGCTGATCCAAGCAACTGCATAGAAGTAGGATAATTCTAACTGCATATGCTCAAGGAAGTACGCACTCGTAATCATAGAATGATGTTTATTCATCACGGTACAAGTGACTGCGTCACATAAAATCGAATAAAATAAAAATTTTGCTTAATTTACATGTAGTATAGCAATTGTAGCGAAAATTTGTAACTTTGAATCGTTGTGCTCGTCGTTAACTAACAACAGTCGTTAGCGCTGAGTCGCCGCTGACGGAGATAAACATTTGCAATGAACAGGCTTTATCGTTCAACAACAGTTAAGCCGCCAAAAGACTAACGGACGAAGATCCGGCAACGACAAGGTAAAGATTATGGGATCCACTATGGGCTGTATTCTATTTAACGTCAGCATCCAGAACAGGACCGTGTAATCTTGTACAAACGTTAACAAAGGCAAGAGGATTACGATAGGCGTCCAGCAAATGAAAATACTGGCGGTCAGTATGGTTAGCAGTAAGAAGGCGTTGCTTTGCGACTTCCTTTGTTTGTTATTTGGCGGTGTCGACGGTTCGTTAAGCGGTTGGATTTTACTATCTGCAAATGACAACACTGCAGTAGTATATAATATTCGGATAGAGTATATAATATTCGGCTTACGTTCTTATCACCAAATAATATTTTTCTAGCTTTACGGGGTGTGGCGTAGTATAGCAACCATGTTGATAGCGTATCTGTATGGTCATCAATGTGAGACAATCAGTCTGTGTTGGGTCGTGCTGCATTAAACTACAAGTCGTGACATTGAGTTTACCAGACATTTTCAGTATTCTGAATAGGGACGCTGCAATTTATCACGCTCAGACGCTTGAAGCTACTGACGGCTTATGGTAGTGCGTGACCTTTAGCGAACTAATTTGCAACTACAAGCTAATTGCTCTGTTCATGTCGACCCTTATATAACGCTCAACCAAGATGCAGTTAACGCTGCAACAAAATTACAGCTCAGAAGACATTCCCGAAAATATTTTCAAAGGCCAAATTTAATCTTATTACAGAGCGCTGCTAGCCATGCATCATGATACTTCTTCATTCCCGATAGTTTAAGTCCCAAGCACTCACCACCGATTTCTTGAATTTGTTTGAAAAATATAATGTTGACAAAACACGCCTTTAGCATGCAAGCAGAGTAGACAACGTTTTACTCATTATTTGTTTAAGCATGGAAGTCTACGTTGCACACTCCTAATTGGGACACTTTCCGACCTTCTTGTTAATCTTTCCCCGCCAACTTCCTATAGGACAATCCCAGCACATTATTTTGTGGTTGTGCGAGAGTTGTTCCTGCCTAATGTCTTTCCATCGTGTACTTATTTAATGTATGAGTTTCCTTTGCAACATCACATTATTATGACTCTATACGAGTACCGTAGACTTTGTATCTGTACTTCCAGTAATACTCGCCACATCACGAAGGAATTGACCGTGTTGTTCGTTTTCGTTGTCGTTTATGCTACACAATCCTACTCTCCCGTACACAGAGCGAAGCTGACAACACGAATGTTTCGTTACCGGTGTTCCGCCTGTTGGTGTCTTGAACCCGGCGCCGTTTTCGTGAACGCTTCCAACGAATGTGTAAGACGGCTGGATACTGAAATATTACAGTGAATACAAGAACGATTATGAAAGTTTGATCGAAATAAACCCACGCGCGCTGCGTTGGTGCCGTTTAAAATTCAACACGCAGCCTGCTATCGTTTCCGGCCGCCTGTAGAGCAGCGCATCAGTAACAACACCCGGTACGATAATAAAATGAGCGGCTGTAAAGCAGAGACCGCTTAATGCAATGGCGACCCGTGTGCTATGGTGTTGCCGATACTGCACCGGAAATATCACCGCACAAGAGCGGCTAACAGCTACAATTGTATGCGAGATAAACTGGCACATCGGTATGACATTCCCAAGATAAATACGAAACGTGCACCAGTTTGAACCCCAGCACCAGACAGCGAATAAGTGGTTGACCATTTCCGGCGGTCCAAAACAAAGTGCATAAAAAAAGTTGTAGCTCAGAAGCGCAAAGACATAGACATGAAAATCCTTAAGCAAACGAATGTTTGTGAGATAATATATCAGTACAATTCCGTTCAGCGCAAAGGTCATGAAAAAATTAATAATAGTGATATACTGTCGGATGTCCACATTATTCGGTTGGCGGCCGTATCACATACGTCCGCGGTATTGTTCGATATTGAACTGTTGTTCATCATTCCACTCATTACCATGCCGAAAGGAAAGTGGCACACCAGTAAACGCTCCGTCAGCAAAGTTGGAACTCGAAGGCTGTCTGAGGATTGCAGACGATACGAGCGGATTAATACGACAAAGTGCTTCTTTCTCTAATCTTTCGAGTGCAGTACTTTCCTGATGGAAGTTTCTCAACATCAAAGCAATGTAATGCCTGCGCTTTAAGGCAATGTCGGTTAGTTAATAAAGCGTCGAGTGCACACAGTGGAGCTACATCCCTTTGGCGACCTTTCGGTTAGTAATTTCCGTGGCAAATTCATTATCTGTAGCTTATTTTACTCGTCAACAACAGGGCTTTGAAGATGGAAGCTAAATATTCCCGTTCTCAATTTGCGAGATTTGCCATTTGCTTCCTGCTCGGAGAATGGACGCACAATGCAGTAGACGCAGCAACGCAGCAGGTGGAAAGAATGCGAATTATTAATCGAAAATTTAAATCGAAAACATTCTCCAGGTAGGACTGCTTTCACGTCAACGTTCAAGCAATAATTGGAACATGACATGTACAATCAACGTCAGATGTTTAAAATTCTATAAACACTGCAGTTTGCACATGCTATCATTTCCATTCAGAGCCGGGTTGACCGAAATTATCGAATTACTTCCGTGCATTTGAACCCGTGCATTATTTTTATTTCGGAGATATCAATAAAGATATTACATCATTTTTGGGCGTTTCCATGCAGGAATTTTATCCAGAGGGCATCCAATTCTAAGACACAGCTTTACGTAATTGGCTTATTAACACTGCTGAGATATTTGCTATATTATAACCGGATAATAATCATACCAGCGGCTGCCAACATGTTCCTGCTCTCTGATCTGACTCTCTTCCGTAAGTCCCGCGACTGTTAGAAAGTCTAGAGCCGTGCTTCTTACAGGAAATTTTGGGCCAGGGAGGATTTTAGTTTTCATGGCCATTCTTGTGCTCCAGTACGGATATTTAAGTCGTCGACGTTATACGTACGCAAAACTATGGTAAGTTGTGCTGATTATACTTATGGTCAGCCTAATTTTAATCCATGAGGAACTAAAAGCGCTACAGCAGTCATTTAACAAATTATGTAGAAAAGCATTGCCATTTACTGATGCAATAATTCTGGGGTAAATTTTTTTGTCAGCTTTGATCGAGTCAACGTTGACTCGTAGTCTGTTGCAATGGCAACTTCTAAGCTGCCGCATTTGGGTTCCTTTGCGTGTAACCTTTACAAGCTGTGGCTGTTCGCCATGATGCTGGTATCGGTGAATCCAGCAAAATGCTTCAAAGTCAATGAGGCCTTATGCAACTACTCATTTAAATACAAATGCCGGCACGATCTTCTAAGTGAAACACACAATCATTACTTTTTGTCAAAGAAAGAACCGAAGAAGTGTGCTACAGTATGGGTTGAAATAGCTGGGGTAGGCGTTTGTTCATGTTGTGTGTAAAAATCACGAAGCAGCCGGTATCGTTGCAGCGTGGCAAGCTTTTTGTTGCTTTGCTGCGATAATGGTCGGTCAGCGATCATCGCCGCATCAAGCGGCTTGCATTAGCATTTCTCTGCGTGTTTCCGCCCAGATTTATTTCCCGTTCTTTCCAAAGAATAAAAAAAGGATGACCATCTAGAATCCGAATGCCACTTCACACAAGTAAAGAATGATAAGCCTGAAGCAGCACAATTACGCTTCAAGATTGTCCAGCCGCTTGCACGAGCCAATACGTGATCATTTCCCCTTTACCCTACAAACAATACAGTCAGCGCTCACATTATTCCCGTCCGTTGCCGAACACATCCAACAGCCTCTGAGAGTACTAGTAATAACCTTGATTTCCATAGTTCCCCGCAACTCAAAGGCACATTCCGGTGCATTGGTAATGCTGGCGGTTTTACCGCTGACATGGATGCAGGACGGCTGACTGCTGGCCTGCATTCTGAGGCAACGTTAACCGTGTCGCCGAATCTGCATCACGATAATCAGCATACAGTAATATTCTTGAAAACGTAACCACAACAATGTTTGTACCAAAAATAACCACTTACAAACAATATCGTGGACGTTTTGCGCCGACGACACCAACTGCAACCGGACCGCTGTGGATGCCCGCGGAAAACTCCATATTGTAGATGGCGCAGTTCTCCGGAAAGTCTGGTGCAGAGCCAGTGCGGTACGGCACACTTCTTCTGCATGATGGGTTCCGAGCTGCAGCACCAATCCGCTAACCACCTGCAACATTGTCAAAAAGTAATGCCTCTTAGCAAAATCGATTTGCCCAGCTCAGTTTCGTAATGACTTTTATGTTGCACGAGAGACAAAACTGCACGTTATTAGAAGAGCTTTTTTCTGTATGAAGTAAGTGAAAGCTGCAGCATAATTACTTCGTAGTTCGTGCATTGGCGACATCCAGTAATAGTATTACACTAACTGGTAGTTATTAGCACTTCAAACTTACAATATAGCAGCTGCTGATGGTCTCCATCTTGTAGACTGACCGTGTCGTTACCACCCGATCGAACAGCACATACACCGCATCCAGGAATCGAAAGACCTTTTCCGCTGTCGAAACCATCACAAACTCCGCAAACCCTTCGATATCACAGAACAACACAGTGGCCTCCTCCACCACCTCCGGCACAACAACGCGCCCTTGCCGCAGTTGCTGTACGACAGGACTGCAAAACGGTTAACGGAGGTAACGCCGTAATTGCCTGTGTCAGTGGTATTTCTGCTCCGCATACCTGGGCAACATCTCCTTCAGCAACTCATCACAGCGCTCTTGTTCTTCAAGGACTTGGTACACTTTATCAGCGACCTTTCGCTCTAGCGCGGTGGAGTAATTTTCTAGCCGCCGCAGTATGCGATCCAGTAATGGGCCCGAAAACCCATCGAATGCGCTGCATAATTTGGCCAGTTCTTTGTTGAGATCGGCACTATTAGGCCTGGTATCTGGTGTTTCGGTCCAACATCGGACAATTAAATCCATCAAAAGTTTCCAGTTTCCTTCTCGAAACTCTTCGGAAACGAGGGACGAAATGGCGGAACTTGTCCGGTGCGTATTCTCTTTATAACTTCTGTTAAAATAATTGCCCTGCGGTAGCTGCATTCCTGTTTGCATCAGCAAGCAAAAACTAGTGCTTTCGCTTTTGGCTAGGAACGCCGTTTTTAAATTTTAGGTTTTATCTTTCCAAACGGTAGTCAGTAAAATATGTCTTAGTTTTGAAGCTTTCAGTACGCTTTAATTTACCGATTTACCATTGATGGTCAGTGCTTTAATATCCATCAAAGACTCCCATCGTGTTCCATAGCAGTCCAACCCAAACGCGCTACATTCCATAACAATCTGATGGCAAACAATTCCCGCAGCATAAACATCACAAGCCGGCATCGGTGCGTGGCCTCTCATTACTTCCGGCGCCATCCAAACGTTGACCGGGAAGAAAGGCCGCTTCACCGTCAACTCCCGGCGCAAATGCCGCAGCTGCTTCTTCCGCAACAGCACACTCAGCTTTTCTTGCCCATAATCGGAGATCTTCAGCGTAAAGTAATGATCGACTAAGCACTTGCTGCTCTGCAGGTTGCCGTGTAATTTAATCGCCGACAGATGAAGGTAAGATAATCCCTACCAGGAATAATAAACAATAATAAAATAATGCTATTATTGTTCCATTTCAGGAAAAGTAAGCGCACCGCAATTAAATTTTGGATGAGGGATAATTTGAGAGTGTAATCGATGGTAACGTTTTCCATGAGATTCTCTACGGATCCCTTGGAGCAGAATTGGAAATAGATTGTCGGCGGGCGGATGCCAATTGATAGTCCAACAAAAGCGTTGATATTTTCATGATCTGGTCTTTTCAACTGCGAAGAAACAAGCAAATTCAGCGGAATCCATTATAAGGAAGAGAGATTGGCTTGCTGCCCAAATATAAAACCTGTTAGGTGTCATGTGTAAAGTAAAACAATCAGCCAAATTTATAGCTGTCCAGTTTAAAATTCGGGAAAGAGGGTGATAACATAAATGGTTAATATGACTATTTATTAAAGCTTAAAGGTAACTTTACAAGCACTTTATTATCAAGTTGGCAATAGACCATATCGGCAAGTGATGATAATTTCGTTACAAGCTGTCTACCTGGAGTAAATACTGGTTCAGCCTTTTGCCAGCCGAACACTGCCATTGTGGATCCCACAGCAGCGTCCTTCTGTAGGCTTTAACGCCATTCACCAGAAACAAACGTTGTGTAAGTTTGGCTGTAGTGTCTTGATTAGCCGACAAGGAGGACAGATTGGTGGATTTCACCGGCAGGACACTGTAGCCGTCGGTACTGGGACCGCCCTCCTTAATCTCCCACCATCTGGTTGCATGACGGGCTCTTCGAATACGGCAGCTAATAACGATGACCGTTAGAGTAATTCACAAAAAAATTTGTAAAACTGGAGTATTTGTAGTTGAAAAATGCAGTAAAAAAATTTAACTAAGCGAAACCGTAAATTGTGCATTGACAGAGAAGTAGTTAGCGGCAAGCGAAGCGTCATAATACCAGATAAAGGTAATCACCAGAACGACAACTGCCACAATGACAATGGCCACGGTGGTGCCGGGTTTCCAGTTAGTTCCGCACAGTTCACCGCGCATACCGCACACCGGGCGATCCACCGGCTTGATACCGCTGGGCCACTCAATGGAACGACCAGGAACGGGTATTAAACTTCGCGAGACGGAGTCATAGTGGAAAACATCCTATGTAAAATCATCATATTGAACAACGACTGAACGTACGCGTAACATGTACGAGAAAGTTTTCGGGAGACGCACAACGAAATCATTGGCAAGCGCGTTGAACTGCTGCACGACAATTTCCGGTCTGCGCTGTCCGGACGGTAGAAAACTCGCGTCGCGAAAGCTCAGGTGCAGTGTTTTCCCGATGATACTCTTGGTAAACTGGTTTCGCTCAATGTGTAGCATACCGTTATCATTAGTCAGTATTGTCTGGTCGGAATTAAGAGTCGCATTCAGACCCTACAAACATTATCAACACGAAGTGCATCCGTTGACTTATGCATTCGACTTGTAATGTCAGACTTTCAAAAATTTGTGTTTCCAATCGTATTGTCTAGCAGGTTAGGTTTCACTAAAAATTTAAGTTTTGGCATATTACGCCACTGTGGAAAATAAAGTACATCAAATGATAAACAAGACGAATCCATACAGCATTTTTATTCAACTGTATAATAAGTTTGTATTTAGCCAAAGATTTCATTTTTCTTATCTATTAGAGTAATTGTAATGGTGTGAATCTGCAAGCTAGAAACCTGCGAAACTCACGTAAGATAATACTTCTGCCGCTTCATAACAGATCATAGCGAATTCATTGAACTGCAAGAACAATAATTCCACGATTAAGCTATCCAGTAAATCTGCCGATTATGTTTTGATGATGTGATAATTAAAGAGACATTTTCAGCCCGAGGAAACGTAAAGACGACGAACCTTATTCTCCGGATTCGGTTGTGTACCGAAAATCTCTTTTCGTCGAGCATTAATAGCTTCCGCCGTGGCATCATATTTCGTCCAGTCGACCACGGCTGAACGGATACTGATTACGCTCTGAATGCCATACCAGACTTTCTAAAGAGACACCGCACAGATTAACGGATTTTACCGTTCACCGAATATGAACCGACTCGCTGGCTTTTCACCTCGTCCAGAGCATCGTCATGCTGCCAGGATAAAGGATATTCCAGAGGGATCTGGAATTCGTACAAGTACACGAACACCTAACGCAACAGGCAACATATCACACTGGATCACATGTCTATGGTGCTGGAATACAGTGATACGTCTTCGATAGCCGGCGTTAGAGCGGCTTACATGATCTCCGGATGTCATATTGAGGTCATACGCGTCAGCCTGTATTAAAAGAAAATAGTTGTCAGTTTTATTGCTCCAAAATGCAGTATAAACCAAAGCAAAGCGGATTACCAGAAGTCGGCGCATCCCAGTATGCAGTGTACAGCAGAGGATCACTGTAGAAAGAAACCGTAAAACAGACGGAGATTAATGTCATATACCATAACACGACGGAATCTGTGATACGTTAATATTCAAGCGATCTAAGACCAAAGCATGCAGACAACTATCAATAAAAGCCTTACGGTCTAAAAATGCAGTATATTAAAGTTTTTAATTTCAATAAATGTATCTTATCGACGGCTCTGGACTTTTGTAGGTTTAGTAACTGGATTCACACTCATACAGTCATATTAACGAAACTGCTCCCAGCAAGCACTTAGGTAAGTTCGGTTATTTCGGTGCACCCAAAATGCACGACAGTTTCCCAGTTATCTAATCTGCGTACCGCGGCTATGTTGGCGGGCTTCCTGTAGCGCTTTCCGAAACGATCCCAGTGTGGAGTCCGTATCGACGATAAGGAAATTGAACTCCGCCGCCAGATCCTGCAGTCTCTCCACTGGACCACGGCACATTTCTGTGCTACGGGCCCCGAACACAGACTGGCTTAAACGGTCGTTTATTACCGCCACTGTCCTCCACTGAAAGTGGCTCATGACGGTTGTATACGCTTCCGCGTAAGTCTTCACGGATCCCAGCGTTACGGCAATGGCGTTCGGGTAGCGCTGGCTGATCTCCACCGATCCACTGCAAGAGTTCTCTCCATCAGCTTAACGGCTGTCACGCATAACCGCATACTCAGAAGGATTACGCTATAGGCTTTAGTAAGAACAATAACTGCCACGTTCCGCGTGGTGTACGATAAAAAAGATGCGTAGGAAGCAAAATCGAAGTTCACGGTAATCTCGCACAGGTCGACAATTAAGCTGGCGGTTATATGAATGAATTTCTCATTAATATTAACAAGCTCAGATACTATGTAATAATGATGAGAAATTAAAAAGAACAGCGCCAAATCTTACCATGCAACAGTCAGCAAATCCATTTCTGCAAAAAACAGACAAGTTACACTTATTGCCGGCGCGTCTAATTCCGTACTTTTTTAGCAAGAAAGATTCAATTTATAAATGAAATACGATCTATCTGACCTCTTGCGAAATCTCCAATTACAAGGTAAGCCGGCGCACAAACTGTAAAACAAAAGACCGTCAGGAATGACCCTCTTGCAATTACGCGTTAATCATCGTTAACCTAAACTTTTTTCTGTAAAGAGACAGGATGATTCGTTATTTAAAGAAAGGCGCATGATTCGAATTCAATCCGTTTATTAAATGCGTTTGTACTGGATTTCGTTGTAATTAGCAACATGCACAGAATGGTAGTTAAAAAGATATGTGATTAATTAAAAACTAATACTAATAATGATTAAATACTGCGATGTTCTGCATATTTAATGGTGCCACGACACATGGGTCTTGCGTTTACCCTTGTATAAACACTAATGGTTATGAAACCGAAGGTCTTTCTACATTAATTTATCACTCCTATGAATGTAGTAATTAAAATTTTAAACTGATTTGTGTTAGAGGCTTGGAGCATTACTAAATATTACAGGCTTATGATAGTCAATAAGTTTGTCATAGGTAGAGTACAGTGACGCATTTTGTTTACCGGATGTAAGGATGACCGTTAGTCCGTTTTGATTGAACACTCCGCTGCCGTACCACTGCTGCAGGAGATTCAGCACAATGACGTTTCCCTCGATCCGACAAGCGGTCGCATTGTCCTCGATGGCCAAGTGCGTCTCGGAATAATCCTCATACAGTCCGCGATACTTTTGCCGCATATTGTCAATCGCCACCCGAAAGGTGCTCTGCATGGGCGCAATACCGGAACCCTGGAAGGGACCGTCCGTGATGGTGACGATGTTCAATTTCGGATACCTCATGCTAGTCACTACATTATAGAACGCTATTATAAACAGGCATAGGAATAGTTTACTTTCCATCATTATGCCTGCGTCTCGCGTTGTGCATGGAATGCCTTACACACCGCGACATCAATTCCTGCAGCGGAGAAGGGATTTAAAGATGCCATGCGGTAAGGAAAATGAAACCGGCTTCCGTATCCGCGCGATGTGCCATCTTCCATTATTCAGACAGATGATGTGGGAGCGGTTAATAAGAGGATTACTGGCAGGAAAGATGCCGCACGGAAGCCTTTCGTCTGTCGTCCCTCGCTCCACCGGCACCGGCAAAAGACCGGCTGAATACGGCTGCGATTAGAGAAATTACTCGTGAAATCGCTAAGTAATGTTTACGAACTGCAGAACGTACGGGTCACACTGGCGCTAACACTTGTTTCACATGAAGTTCAAAAGAGAATGAAAAGGCTGTCACGAGTTGAGCGGAAAAGCAATCAGATCAATAAAATCCAGTTCCGAATAGCACGGCAAAACTATCGTGCAGGAAATTAATTATATGCAGCTTAGATTTTGCTGATGAATTACTGTGGAGCGTTTTGAAAAGCGGCTTTAGGCGGGTTTTTTTTGAAGATGAGACACCTGGCAAGAAGCTTTTTGAGAGGCTTAGAAGCGGTCCACTAAGTACCTGAAGTTTTATTGCAGGATAATGCACCCTGCTGAAGTGATGCGCCGCTGTCGCCATCCTCGATAAAATGATAAATTGTCGCTGCACAGATTCGGCAACGGTTTTTCTTGCACGAGTGATTGAAAGCTAACAGTATTGCGTACGGTTACGGAGATTGTCATTTAATTATTTATCGGAGAACCCTTCCAGGTTAAATCATTGCTGCCTGATCCTTTCGAAAAAGGTGATGTTCTGGGCCGAACAGAGGTTTATATTGAGGATCGATAACGTCTTTATTCGGTCAGTTTGTTTGACTCTGTGCATTAGTGCAAAGGTCCGTTGCTGTTTTCGGGTTCGGTTAAAGATCCCGTGGTGTTCTCACCGGTGAGCATGTGCGCTTGTTGCGTCTACAATTCCTTCAATCTAACCAATGAAAGTCTATCCAGTGACTCATAGAGTCCTGAACCCAGCGTTGTTGCCTAAAAGAGGATAAGGGATCGGCATCAAGACAGCCAGACGCGGTTAAGTTTGTCGTCTTCTTTATCCTGCATTTACCGCTGTCTTAGCTCCGTCTGAACTGACTTCTATCCTAACTTCCTCGTGTGCAAAAAATAATTGCAAAGGACGTCTTACCGGCATCCTTCTATTTTACTGCCTCCCTCCTGTAAAAATAGTTTTGCGGTTTCCGATCAACAAATAACCACAGTAAAGCCATCCACGGGCTTTAATTTAATCGCCGATATGATTATAGTCCACTGTGTCTGTGCACAATTATACATGCAGGATGGTTGCAAATTTGCAGTAACTTGTTATGATCGTGTGTGTGTCGCTTATAATTTATCGACGATATGGTTCTGCGTTAATTTGTTAATTTTGAATAAGTATGGCCAAAGCTTCATAAGGACGAGAAGTCGTTTTAATCAGATCTACGCCGAGAGGAAACTCTTTCATCTATTCCTTTTAATCACAAAAGGTTAAAGTTTTATGTTAACAGATTAATTATCTGTAAGTAAAAGAAGAACTTCTGTGTTAGCAACTCAGTACTATTCCCGAATAAAATAACGGTACCGTTTTAATAAGAAAGTAAATCCAGTACCAGTGCTTCTATTATACCGGGAGCATTTCAAGCTGAAATGAACGAATTGTTTTAAAAATATTCTACTTTACCACGTGTTCATGTGTATAGGTGCGTATTTGCATAAATTACCAACTGGACCGAAAATCTAACGAAAACATTACGTGTCTTTAATTTGGGCCCGGACAGCATACATTTCGTGAACTGAGTCAAAAGACTCTACAAGCAGGCAAATTACAAGCAGGCAAATTTATGGCCAAAAGCATCTAGCGACGCATTCAATTGAAAAATGAAGATCATAAAAGATCTAGGTTCGAGTAGTTCTACTAATATAAATTTCTTTCTGTACAAGTACGTCATATCGAAATGTGCCAAACTGTCGCATTATTCATGTTGATGTAGTTACCGGTATAATGTTTTTAGCACATGGTATTCAGTTTTAATTAACCATTGCTATCTGCGACGCAATCGTTTGCTGTCTCAGTGACAGACCACAATGTCATTCAAGGGGTTTGGTTCACACTTTTTTTTGGCTTCGCCGATTGTGGAGACCTGAAAAAAAGTAAATATGTTAAATTCGGTCGGTATTTTGGTCAGTATTCATGGTATAATTGGTATTCAATAATATATAACATTTCCACTAAAACTACAGGATAAACGAAGCTCTATCGGATTGTTAAAAAATAATGTAACTGCTTATGAATGAGAACAACATTTTTTGAACCCGGTGAAGCCATTACTCGTAGGTTACAAGCCAAAAAGCGTTGAGCTTACCGCCGCCAATACCATGACCCCCAACGTAATCCAGTTCCAGACAGACAGGAATTTCATGATGGCGGGTGTATACTATGGACTGAAAAAATATTATAACGGAGAAACGAGTTGAGTATTTGCAGAATATCAGCCAGTTTGGGCACCATTTGAGACCGAGTGGTTTATATAAATTTCTCAAGCATGTTTTCTCTTTATGGCTTTTTTCTTAATGGAAGAAAATTCAAAGAATGTGGTAAAAACAGAGGATTAGTTAAATAATTTCGCGGAGTACCTATGGGGAAATAATATTCAATCAATCAATATACGGTTGTGTACGTTGTAGAGCACTAAAGCGTATAAAGCTGTTCATATTTTATTAATGTTTACAATAATACAGTACTGCATGGTCATGTACGAAGATTCTGAATAATTTCTGACATCAGATATCCCTACGGCGACAGTGGAAACCGAATAATACGAGGTATTATTATTTTGTTGTGCGACTCGATGTTCGGTTATGTTGTTATCATAGACTGCTCAATAAAAATGCCTCAGCCTTCTTGTAATTAACAGGTATTGTTCACCGGTCTTCGATTAAACAGTAGTAAATAAAACCATCCACCTTCAGCTTTTTATCTAACCGATAATCACGTATATGAATGGCTTGTTACGGAGTGTGCACTGTGATGTTTCCAGTAAAAAGACTGCAGAAAAATCAGCCCTCAGCTTTCGCTTTGTCACAAAATACATAGGTCCATGTGAAAATAATCAAATAAACACCGATGATTTTAACAGAATAGAGCGATTATGGAAGCCTCTGGCTCAGTTTAAATAACGATGATTCTCATCAAGTTTTCTTTGTATTGCAAAACATTTTCTGTGTTGTTGATTGTTTTTCTCATACTTTTATGTACTTTGTCGTTCTTTTCATGTTAGTTGCTTACTGAGCGCCAAAAAACACATCATCCCCCAGTACCGGGCGCCAATACGTATAATTATGGTACATAATAATAATGTATGGTACATTATGGTACATAATAATAATTATGGTACACAGTAAAATATTCAACTGTTGAACGGACCGAAAGTTCATTACAGCCGAAAATTCAGCAGATACAGTTCGGCAGAACGTTGTTGATTAACAAAGTATAAGTCAAAGTAGGAAAGATTTCAAAGCGACGATTTAAAAAATAATGAAATTCAGCCCTTTAACACACCAGAATTCCCGTTTAAATTTTCAGAACTACTTTGTCGTAAAGTTCGAAGAAGAACGACCTGACGTAAAGCACTACACCGTTAAAAGCACAAAGGGAGACTAAACTTAGTTAATACGGTCGTTCCGGATCAGTTGCGCAGCTACTGTACTC